CTTAAAGAAAGAGAAGATTCTATGATCGACTCTAATCCCGATTCTCGCTTAGAGCCTTCGCAATTACTCAAAGATGCCAATGAGGAGGTTAAAAATGAAAGTGAAGGAGAGAGAGCTTTTGTTGCTGAAGAACCCGCCATAGAGAGCCCCCCTCACTCTGTTAAAGAGAATTTAACAACCGAAAGTAGCTCTCAAGGTTTCCTAACTTCAATAGAGAACATTTGTGCTGGAAACCGATCCCTACTTGATAACTGTCCCTGCACTTTAGTGTCTCAAGTGAATTCTTTAGCAAACGAACTCGAAAAAGGTGGTTTCCGAAGTACATCTGGAAAGAGCAGAACTGATCAATCAAGTGCTTCGAGTCTAAAGAAGGGAACGAAGAAGGCAATTGAACAATCGATGGGTAATGCGGCGGGAGCTGTCCAGACGAAAAAGGGAACAAGAATAGCCGGGCTGATAAATGCGAGAGCAGAGCTTTTCGAAGCTTGGAGGTGATTGGCATTTGTATGCTAACATTGTGTAGTCAGACTGGGTGGGAAATGCCAACAGGTAGAAGTTGGTAGTATGTCGTGTTTTGGTTTCTTTCCTTTGGAAATATCGTGCATGAATTTATGTTTGTCTTGTATGTGATTTTTTTTTGGATAGAATTTGGAGATCTCGTTAAAAACTCCCTTCATATTCTTTCACATACTTAGAAGTATGTTGAAGAACATTGGAAGGGAGAAAAGAGTACCTCATATTTTATTAAATATAATACCAAATCCATGAGGAATCACCAAACCCACATACGAGAATAAACACCAATACAAACTATATCACCTAGAAATCTTACATCGTCAAACAAAAAACTCCTAAATCAATAACCCCATTTGTAGAATACACCTCAAGATATAAGATGACATAGCAAAAAAAAAAAAACCAACAATTACAACCACAAACTTAAAAACGCCTCTTAATACAGCTGTCGAACAATCACAATCCAATTGGAGGATCAAGTTCTAAAGAAATATCGCAATCTTCAGGAACCCAAGAATTAGGTTTGAAGGAAGGATCAACTTCATGCACCAAAATTTTGAATAAATGATCCCCGACCTTCAACTCATTAATTCTCCCTAGAGCATTTGTGAGTAATTGGATTTTCGCCTGATGAAAAGATGAAGGGAACTCATAACTATTATCAATTGCTATTAACTTGTCCCACTTAGTAGCTATATTTTTTAAAGTATCCCAATTCCAAACGTGAAAATGAATACCTAGCCAAATGCGCCAGCTCTCCACCATTAGGCTCTCAGACCAAGTTTCCACTCTGGAAAACCATTCTGCAAGAGTCTCTAACTTATCATCCTTCACGATTCTCAACGAATTAGAATATTCAAAAACCATTAGAACTACATTTCCAGCAGCTCTCATAAGCGTAAAACCCGCTAGTCATTTGGCTTGTATTTAGTTGGCAAGATTACCAATCTTGATAAAGTGCTTGCACCACCCTACAAGACAATTACTTAATACGTGAAGTTTCTCTTCGTCCACAACTCCCTCAACTTCACAGTGTTTAATCATCTGAACCTCTTCCCTCCTAGACTTACGTTGAACAACCTTCGAGGACTTTCGCTAGTAAGCATGTCGGGGTTTATATTTAGCCAAAGAGACTTTAATTCTGCTGTCGTAAATATAAACGCCATTCATGCTTGATATCGCTTTCCTTGCTTCTTCAATAGTTGCAAAGCGAATGAACCCAAAGCGACCTCCTTTCGAATTCCTTTTGTTAGGAATGAATGCATCAATAACATGACCGTAAGTGCTAAATAAAGATCAAGTCTCTTCCAATGGATCTTCTCTGGTAGGTTCTCAATGAATAACGAGATGCAACCACTTCTACACCTATTACTACCATTTGTATGACCTTCCTTCCACCAATTTTGATAACCATTTCTTCTCCCTCTCGCTACTTCAGAAGATTTTTCATTGGAGTACCCCTTCGCGGTGATCTCTTTTATTCTATGGTGATCAACATCAGCTTCAGAACGGGCTGGTTTTGCCTTTGCTGAAGGAAACATCTCAGTCCTAAAATTCACACCTTGTGAAGGAGATCTTCCATTTATGCCAATCCTTACAGCAGGTGGTTGACAATCTAAAGATGCTTTAGCTGAGCAATTTTCCAAATGACTGGATGATAAAGGACTTTCACCCGACCTCGAAGAATTACCTCTTAAAATTTGCTGATTTTGGAACGTAGGAGACTGCCTGTAGGTAGTGCTATCGGCCTCAACAATCCAACCTGCCTCACGGGCCAAGGCAGCCAGAACATCGTTCATGTTAGAACGAGCGGAAAGATGGAAATTTCCGTATTGCCTCAAACCGGCTAGCATACGACTGGTGAAGGCTTTCCTGTTCCTTTTCCGATACTTTGTCTTCTCCTTCTCATTCTCCCTCTCTCGTTTTTCCTTGCTGGAGTAGGAAAATGTAGTCGCGTCGTCTGGTCCAGAGGAAGAACTAATGCGGTTGACAGAGGCTGCACCTGTCGCGGCTGTTGAAGCAAGCCCACTGGTTATCCTGTGTTAAGACGACCTTATGTGTTCCATTGTGAGAACTGGGTAGCTGGACAGAAGAGAACTGTAAAAAACAGAAAGTTGGAGGATAGGGAAATTTCTTGCCGAACCCGTTCAGCAGAAAAGAACCGACTGTCGACACTATGGAAGGGGGTTTAGGTCGCGAGAAGAAGCTGAGTCCGGTGGTGAGGCGGAGGCGACCACGAGCGGCGGGAAGTGGCGAAAAGCGGCGGAGAACTTCGCGAAGATCTGCGTCGTTTGAAAGGCTCAAACGCAAATCTAAGGCCAGATTTGGAATCACCGTGGGCCGGCGATCTTCCCAGGAAAAAAACAGATTCAAACGGTGGTCGGAGTATGGCGGCGGACGGCTGACGGTGGCGGCGGGCAACGGGTGGATGACGGTGAGGAAAATAATTCAAAAACGCCTGGGCTCTGGGCTCTAGAGAGAAGCGGGACCTTCTCTCACCTACTTTAATATAATACTGACCTTTTATGTGATTTTGAGTGGAGATTCTTTTACCTTTCAATGCTTCACACTGACTTAACATTTCCTTAGCTCATTCAAACATTTTCTATTGTTCATACTAATTTTCACTGTTTCTAAAGCTAATAATATATATATATATATATATCAGCTATTTTTCTACTACTTAAAATAAAAAAGATTATAGATGTTTCATAATTCTAGCTAAGAAAGAAGCTGCCGAAAAGCATGAACATCAGTAAGCCCAAAAGAGGCACGTCATTCTATTTCTTTGCAGAACCCCGAAACATCTGCTGTTCTAAAATGGAGAGTATTTCAATGATTTAATCTTCATAGGAATTTTTCTGCTGCTTTGCCTCCTTTGGTTCACATGCAGCTTCCTTCTCCAATGTAATGATTCCTTCCCTTGTTTCTGTTGATTTCCATTTAGAATGTATGGCATATACGCACTCTATTAAAACGGCCCCCTTGTGAAATTGCTGCTGCTTCTTTTGGCGATAATCCATGGATGCTATCTGGTATTTCAAACTCTTACATTTGTGCTAAAATTATGAACTTTTATTGTTCATGTTTTAAGTTAAGGGAAACCCAGAAGAGTTTAGCACTTTTGAAACTGCATTCTGAACTCTTATCACCATGCGAAAGAGAGAGGGAGAGTTAACGGCATGGATGGAGACCAGCTAAACAAAATAGCTCTGTTTGCTCGAACCAGATGTTGGTATTCTTATTTTTCTTCTTATTATTATGCTTTTTCTTATCCATATCACGTTGCTCACTCTTTCAAGGTTAACTGAGGCTTCAAGGTTGATGCTGGTATGCTTTTTGTTTGGTCAGAACCAAACCAATTTCTTAAATTTTACTAAAGAGTAATTTTTTTTGTTCAATATATTGCTGATGTAGATTCACCATCTTATTGGGATATAAATGGCAATCCTCACATATTTTAAGGTACTTTACGACAACAATCTCTGTCCCTTGCTCTGAGTTCAACAGTCCGAACACAATCGTCAACTTTTCACAATGAACATCCATCCCAAGTTATTTACGTCTCCTTTATGCAGCCATCAAGTTTCTTCACCATAGTTTCCAGTTTATCCACCAAACTTTATGCTTTGGGCTCATGCAATGCCTTATCATTCTTACAAGCAAAGAGAGATTGTGCTTATGAAACTTGTGATCATCATGCTTCCAGTCACAGTGAAACACACATATGATCACATTCACAGCTCATATTCTTGTAACAAGTGTCGGCATTCCAAATCTTCCATTAGCTCGATTTCTTTATATCTGCAAAATCTTAGTTACGATTGAAGGAAAATATTGCTCTTAAGTTTGACATCATAGTGCTCGTTTTGGCTACAGGATTTACGGAAGTGGTTTCTTAGTATCCAGATGCTTATGAAAATGATTCTTCTCGTTTGGATGTACCATAAAAGGGTGTGTATTTTCCTCTTGAAATTACAAACTATAGCAATTTTTCCTCTTGGATATATTTGATCAGTGCATTATTACAATTTTTTGCAGTCCATTCAGTAGGCCTAAAAGATTTCACTTGGGTAATGTCAGCTGCAGATACCATAGTTCAGATTTCAGAATCACAGAGGGGTTGCTGCAGTTCTCAAGAATCCCTTTACGGTCCTAAGCCAATATAACTTTTCGATTTAACCCGAGCCAGATATAGTGTTGTAATCTCAGTTTTGCGAATCCTCTTAATGGTTCTCAATGTCATGCACTTGCAGGGTTTGTGTGTAAAGCATCAAGGAGAAAAGGACCAAGCATTGACACAAGTAAGTGAACAAGCCATGAATCAGCCAAAGCACAATAAGACCATATCATTCAATAAGCAACCAATCTTTTTTTTTTTACAATCAAACATTATCAAACAAGGCCTAAAACCCACTTTAGAGCCCCAAATCAGAAAAGGAAAGTAAAATAGTTCTTCAAGCCATCACTATTATAGGCTTGGGAGCAGACCAAATACAAATACAAATACCTAGTGGGAATCCCAAATCCAAAATGAATCAAAGAGGGGTTATTAACAACAACAAATAGGACATCGAATCAATCCATTTTCGTTGCACTCCACACACTGTATCTTCTTCTTCAGTTCCTTATCTAAAACTTTGCAGCTTCCATTGCATTGTTTGCACATCACAAATCTCACCCCACCACAGCCTTTACACCCGGTAACTGACATGGGGATCCCTTCAAACAACATTTCAAGTTTCCCTTCCTCTTCTAGCTTCAGAATCTCTTCGACTCCCCCAATCAACTTTCCTTTCACAAATACCAGTGGAACTTTCACTTCCTTTGTGCCTGTTAGCTTCCTCAACTCTTCCTTAAACCCGGAATCCATCCATATATCGCGCTCGGATATTTGGATGTGGTGCGATTTGATGATCGATCTCACCGTGTTGCATCCCTCAAAGGTCTTTCTAATCCCTCTCAACGTTGTAGTGTAGACCACAACTGCATTTTTTCCACCTGGTGGGCATTTCGGCTCGAAATCTTGAAGAACGGCCTTCGAGTCCTGAGATTTCTTCGAATTTCGGGGTTCGAATTCGGGTGAAATTATTATCTTGATTTGTTCCTCTTCTTCAGACAACTCTTTCTCGTACAAAGCGACAAGTTCTGGATCAAACAAGGGAATAAAACCACTTCTCCTCGACGAAAACCCAAAGTCACCAACCTCAAGCCCTTCGATTCTGGTGCTTTTCACCGGATAACTCAACTTCAACGCTGCTTTACACGAACTATCCATGGGATTATTCACTCCCGGTATCGATTTCGGGCTTCCTTTGTTCTCTTTCCCGCCATACTTGTTCGCTTTCAATGGAGAACCTATCTGATTCAAGAACTTCAATGGACTTCTCATACCCTTTTCCCTAACAAGAACACGCGATTTTGGACTCCTTTTGAAAAATCTATCTTCATCGAGATCTTCCATGAGTTCCCAGGCATTGATTACCTCAGGTTCTTCACGAGGAGGCGATCTCTTAACCCCATCTTCTTCTATTTGATGCTGCAATTCATCGTTGTCGAGTTTAAGGACACCGTAAGTGCTTGACTTGAGAGAAACCACATGGTTTGCATAACCGCCGCCATTGTTGAGAAGAATATCTCGTTTGATCTTTTTCTTAACGTGCTTTGAAGAAACACAACCCATTCTTTCTGGGAGGAATTTTCTTTGTTTTTCTGATGTCCTGCTCTGTTCTGTTCAAGGTAAGAAGGAGGAGTTATCTAGTTTAAGGTTTTTTTAATGGCAACCGTTGTTGTCTGAGAACCGGCCCCAACGGTCCATTTTTTCGAATCTGGTATAGTGGGCAAGAGCATGGGAATATTTTTCGGGAAGCCCCTGTAATTCTTTCTTTTGGTTTCCGTTTTCGCCACTTAAATTTATTTTATCTCTTTAGTGATCCATTGAATTTCTGATTGTTTGTTTATTAGTCCTATATTATTTTCGCATTGAATTTCTCAGTGTTTTTCATGCTTGTTTAATTTTTAAAGATAGCATGATGTTTTTATAAGAATACATTCATCTTGAAACTAATATATCAATTTATTTTAATCTCACTAACCCAAAGTTTAATTTCATCCTAATGTATATATTATATATTAAGTCATTGATGGAGTTTATATCATTAATTAATTTGACATCAATTCAATTAAGAAAAATATAAGAACTCGCATTCATAAAGGTAACATATGATATATTTTTATATAATCTTTGCTGCAGCTATCTTTCGGGTGGGCTCAGAATTGGACTTCCACTTGAATGAAAGTGTTAGAATTGTCACCGATCATTTAAAAATATTATTTAGGTTGATTGGACACTATCTTACCTGATCTGCGTCTTACCAGAAATATGTCGGATTCGAGAGTCGATTATAGTCAAGGAAGGATTAGCACCCTTGAACTGCCATTTCGTTACTAATTAATTTCCAGTTGTCTTAATTAAAAAAATGATAAGTTAAAGTGAAAGGTAAAATAGGATCCAAATTACTTACCTTCAATGGGTTTAACAAACATACCTTTAAAAAGTCAAGAAAAGTGTTACATATAGTGAAGTGCGGAATTCAATTAAGATAAAAAAATGCATGTTGATGAATTAAAAGAAATACAATAAAACGAATTGTTTATCTAAAGTACACATCAAATAAAAAGGTCACTTGAATTAAAATAAAAAGAGAAAAAAAAAGACATGAAACACTAATTGTAAAATTAGATATAAACAATTACCAACATAAAGAAAAGAAGTAAAAATGTAGAAACTCTATAAAAGTAGCTGAATAAATAAATAAAAGATAAAATAAAATAATAAAAGATAAAAAAATAAATATAAAAAATAAAACAAAAAAAAGATAAAAAAACAAAACAAAAACAAAACAAAATTAAATTAAATAAAACAAAAAAAAACAAAAACAAAGGAAAAAGTAATATAATTAAATAAAAAAAAGGAAACAAAAATAATAAGAAAAATACAAAAATAATAAAACAATATATTTATATCTAATAAAATGTAGTGTTAAATAAATAAAATAAATAAGAAATAAAAAATAAAAAAAAATAAAACGTGAATTGAATGAAAAAATTATTAAATTAAAAGAAAAAACAAATTGGGTGGTTAATTCAAAAGCAATTCGGGGTGAAATTGAATTTTAGGGGGCAAAATAAGTCTTTAAAAACAACAAGGGATCGAAATGGGGATTTCCCCTTTACTTCGGTAAAACACGCGGATCCCATGGTCTGTGAGTCGGGTAAAAGGGCCACTCGGGTTGGTATAAATACCAAAAATAACAAACACCCTTCATTTTTCTCCCCCCAAACCGAATCAAAACCAAACCTATCAAATTCTCTCAAACATTCAACGTGTTCTTCATGGAAATAAAGAACACGACCGTGAAACCCAGAAACCGGTTGGCCACCGTTCATCACCGGTGACTGATTTTTTTTGTTGCATTTTCTTAAAGCCTTTTTTACCCTCGTTTCAAAAATCCAAACCCTTTTTTCAAAATAGCCTCGGGGAGGGCTAGATCTGAGATTGAAAATCTTGAAACCCTCCCCCATGTTTATCGACCGATTGGGTTTTTTTCGAATCGAAAACAAAGAAAAATGAACATGCAAGCAAAAACATGGCGAACAAGGTAAGAAAAATACCTTATTTATTCGATATTTCCTTTCGAAAGTTACAAAATTTGCTCTGATTTTAACTATTTATTTCTCGTACTTTCTTGTATTTTTGTGTGTTTTGCTTGTGTTGTTTACATTAATTTATAGTCTACAAAAAATTATTTTTAGTTTGGTAGACTCCTAATAGGACTGATCTATTGTTTGCTTTTGTGTCCTACTAACATACGATTTTGTGTTTGTTGAGCCGAGAGAAACGACCGGTGTAAGGCGTGAGGAGTCTTCGGGTTGACCGGCTAGAGCGGCGCTGGAGTGGGGCCTTAGGGTTAAGGAGGAAACCCTAGCTGTGCTGGTGCGATCTGGACCGTTGGATGGGTCCAGATCCAACGGTGGAGATTGAGAGGCGGCTGGCGGTTGAGATGTTAAAAACCTTAATCTGTTTTAGGGTTTTAAATCAGGTCGATTTGGGTTGCAGTCTTGGGTCGGTTCGGGTTGCTCTAAGACCCGAGTCTATTGTTGTTGGACTCAAACACTGTTGGGCTCCTGTGTTTGTAATTATTGGGCTTCTGGGTTTGTAAAAACAAAAAGAACCGAGTAAATGTGTAATTACAATAATAGTATATTATAGTATATAATATAATATATTTATGTATACGTAACACATTTATACGATACAAATTAATACTTTATAATATAATAAACTAATCTAATTAAGTGAGTAACCCGAGTTGGACGAAAATATGTGTCTACAGCTGCCCCTCTATGCCCATTATCGTATAACGGGAATAGGGAAAATATTACAAGACACAATTTCCGTTCATCACGAATGTATTTCTGAGTTTGACATCCTTTGCTATGGGGATCGATCCCCATCTTATAAACTATCCTCCGTTGTAGAGTTGAAATTCGATGTTATGACTGGTTTGCTAATTTAGACTGAATCACGAAATGACTCCCTCGCCGTGAGGTTGAGTTGAACTGGAAAATTCTGAGCACGATATCCTTCGTCGTGAAGTTGAAACCGAACTCAAATATATGGAAAATATCTCCTGGATCTTCGTCTAGCCCAAGACACTTCGTCGTGAAGCTGAAACTTGTCTTGAAGACTTTGGTGTTGTTGTGTTACAGACAACTCATTCGTTGTGAAGTTGGATCAATTTTTTGGGTACGATATCTTTCGTTGTGAAGTTGAAATCGTAGGAAAATCGGAAAGTGGCTTCTTATTGTCACTCTTGATCAACCTTGGTCTTCTTCTCGACTTAAAGACCTTGGTGTGAGAATTTGACCGGAAAGTAGCTCCTTACTGCTACCTTGCGGTAAACATGCTCTTGAGCTGAATGAAATCGATCTCGAAAGTTCTTGCTGACAGATAACTCTTCTCGTCTTCGAGTTATGTTGTACTTGGCTGGGGAGTAAACCCCTGTTGTTGCAGATGACTCATTTGCTGTGAAATTAAGTCGATCCGTTGGGCACGATATCATTCTTTGTGAAGTTGAAATCGTGGATGGTTCCTTTGTTGTGAAGTTGAGCTTTGAATTGGATATCCTTCATTGTGAAGTTGAAATCCCATCTTGTAAATTGATCACTTCGAGTTCAATATCCTTCGCTGTGAAGTTGAAATTGACTCTAACAAGAACCTGTAAAATTATGCATATATGAGATGTTATGGATGCAATGTTCTTAGGTGCTCCTAAAATGCATATGTAAAATATGTTATTTTGGGCTCTGGAGAGAAATTTCGATCTCCGGTTGCCTGTCTTGGTGACTCTTGACTCTGGAATCTTGAATTTCTGATTCCTGATCTTGAATTCTTCAAACGTTCAAATATGATGTGACAGATTTATTTTTTATCCTTGATTTGGGAAATGCTTCTCAACCATATCAAGTATAGTGCATGAGCATTGATCGGTTTCTGAGTATTTGTACTTTTCAAAAGAAATCTTTGTATAGTAATATACAATTATCTTTTTCAGAAGTGAATAAATCATTAGGTTTAAATTCAACCCAAGATGCTTAAAAGGAATCGTTTTTGAGAAATGGTCGTCTTTATTTATAAGGGAAAAAGAATAAACGATACATGAAAAACATTCTGAAAAGTAAATACATAGAAGAAGTATGAATGGATGTCTTAGATCTCAATAATGCGGGCGCTTCTGAACTAATAAGTCGTTAGGTGACCTTGAACCCAACCTTTGTCAAGGAATCTTTGAAGTTGCGACAATGTTCAGGAGAGTGCAACATTTCTTCGACTCATTAAGTCTATAGAAGATTCAGATGCCGGGATGCCTCACTGTCTGGATTAGGGATCTTTTTTGAATTATCCAAATTATCCTTTCGGGTTTTCAACTTAGATCCATCATTGGTTTCAAGACTCCCTTTGCGGGTTTTCATCTTGAACCCACTTTATTTTCTTTCATTTTTCACTTTTTTCTTTTCTTTTATTTTTTTTTCAAATTTAAGGTGCCTTTTCGGGTTTTCACCCTAAACGTTTTTTCTTCTTTCTTTTTCTTTTTCTTCTCTAACTTAGGACGCCCTCTCGGGTTTTTATCCTAAGCGAAGTATTTTTTAACTGCATCCGAATTAACAGGATTTGGCAGTTCTAGCCCGTCCGTTTCAGCCAGGACAATTGCTCATCCGGAGAAGTCTTTTTCATGACATAAGGTCCCTCCCAATTTGGCATCCATTTTCCTCTGAAGTCTTTTTGAATTGGCCAAATTCTCTTAAGCACAAGATCTCCTTCACAGAATACTCTAGGGCGCACCTTCTTGTTATGTGCTCGAATAATTCGTTTATGGTAGATCTGACCATGATGAATGACTTTCAATCTCTTTTCCTCTATTAGGTTCAACTGATCATATCGGGATTATATCCATTCTGCATTATCCAGTTTGACTTCTGACAAGACTCGGAGTGACGTAATTTCTACCTCAATGGGCAGAAGTGCTTCCATCCCATATGCCAATGAAAACGAAGTTGCCCCAGTCGAAGTTTGCACCAAGGTTCGGTAAAAAAACAAAGCAAAAGGCAATTTCTCGTGACAATCCTTGTATGTCTCAGTCGTTTTCTTCACTATCTT